AAACGGCCAGTAACACCCTAAACAACACACTAGTCTGTACTAGAAGACAAACAGAGGTAGGGCAGAACACCGAACTTCTGAAGAAGTGGCCAACCCATGTTTCTAGAATTCCAGTCGCCATCAGACAGGTGACACAGAGTAGCACTAGCCCGTCACAAACTAGTCCTATCTTGAGCAAGGATCATACCATGCCTGAAATAGAAGACGACGTAAAAGGCTTCAGAACAAGGCAGCCACAAGCAGTTCGCCACAATCCGTAGCACCTTATTCATGGAAGGAAGGCTGTATTACGACACCCGATGGCTGCAGTGTTTGCACCAAAGTTGTTTCGGTAGTCGATGAGGCATTTGCATGCAACCTATGTCAACGATGGGCGCATTGCCACTGCGATACCAAAGTCCCCCGACAATACTATAAGCTGATGAAGAGACAACCATGCAAGTGGTTCTGGTACATCTGTCCAGAGTGCAGGAAAATGCCCGCACTCCGCACAGAAAGCCTGAAGGAGATGCTCTCCGCCACGCAAAAGCTACCAGCATCCTCGAATAAAGTAGGGTTAACACCAAAGGATAACACAGAGAGACCTGGAAACAGACCTAGAGCTCCAGCTGTGGGCACGCCACCTCGCGTGGGGACCATATTAGGTCAAGTCTCCATACCCCTACCCGGCCCCAGGGGACGTCAAGCGCATGGCCAAAGACATCGACCGCCGAAGCCTCTACGAAACCCATTCCGAACACCCCACACACCGTGACTGAGAAACAACCAGTGGAATTACTCAAACCCATTGGGAAGTCGGGCGTGCCACCCACAACGAACCCAGGTCACAGGAGGACCAACTCGATCATTTTGTTCAACGTCGATGTATCGACAGACTCATTGTTGGTCGAGAGGGAACAATTTGACAGCCGAATGTGGACCGACTACTGTCAGATGCTGGGACTCCCTCCCCTCCCTGCAACTTTATGTCGCCTTTCTCGAGGAAGCCATGCACCCCGAGATAAGCCACCCCCTTTACGTGTGTCCCTAAATACCGCCAAAGAGGCTGAAGACACACTCCCCTCTCGCGACAACCGGACGTTGTTAATGCCTGTAAAATTCGGGCCAGGCCTGACAAGCCATGGTCAGTAAGAGAGGAGGAGAGAAAGTCAGCGGTTGGAAATCCCAACAGAAACAACACTATAGTTGTACATGGGATTCCAGAATTGCCAAGTGACAGCTCGGTCAAAGATCGGTACTTTCACGACGTCCAACAATGGCAATGGCTCTCAACCAAAGTTGGTCTCAACAGTATACCGGCCAACAGCGTCAGTAGACTGCCAAGGCCAGCGCACCTGAAGACCATACCCAATCCCAGACTACTTGCCGTCCAGTTCGACTCATATGCCTCCCTCACAGACGTTCTGCACGCATGGTATAATGCGAAAGATCGCATGGGTGGCTCAATACGTATATGTGAAAGTAAGCCTAGACCCACAAGGCAAGAGGAGAGACGGCAACCACCAAGACCTCTGGAGTCAGTGGTCGTCACACAGGCGCTGACCAGTGAGTTAGATACATCAAGTAAAGAAGCCACCACTGCTACAGCCCCCACCCAAGTTAAGAACAAAACACAAAAAACGGAACAATGCCAGTCCTATGAGGACTGGCGAGGCTAAATCAACCACGTAAGCGCTCATCCGCGAAAATACACATCCAGACCTCCCCTCTCATCAGGCACACTCTAATATGTATGTACAGCAACGTTAGGGGGCTAAGAGGGAAGGTAGCAAAATGAGGACGCTGCGTGAACATCAGCACTACGACATCATATTCATCACCGAATCCTGGCTCTCATCGGACATCTCCGACGAAGAGATGCGTGTTGCTGGCATGGAACTCTTCCGCAGGGACAGGGAACATAGAGCAGGAGGGGGAGTGGCTATCTACGTAAACTCCTGTTTAAAGGCAAGGATGGTTAGCGATACGGCCTTAACCCAGCTCCCAGAGTCTCTATGGTGCTACTTCACTCTCTTCTTTATTCTCTCTTCATTCCTTTACCACTACCTTACTATTCTCTTCAGGTACCTACACAGACAGGAGTCATGGCAGTTCTCTAAACTTCCCAGCAACCCGTAGCTCCCTAATCACTCTACAAATTACAACCTACTAACCCACAAAACATCCACCTCACCGAAGCTAAAAGCAAGAAAGCAGAGGGATTTCCTCGTCCACTGCAGGAGTAAACCGAACAACTGGAACCAAGCCCTAAGAACTAGACGCGAGAGATCAAAAACTACCAGTTTTCTACGCTCGCACTATCAATATTGGATACTGGAACCATGATACATCTGGGTGAGTTCTTTGTACCGACTACAAAACTTACTTGAAGAAGTATCCAGAACCGACTGTTTAGAGGTAAGCTTAGGTGGAAAAAGATGAGGGTGCGCACGATGGTAATGAAAATTAGTCTGAAGCCGAATATATCACTACGAACTAGAGAGATTAAAGGATTTTGGAGCAGGTATTCACTTGCGTTAAAAACCTATGTACAAAAGTTTGATGAAGTTATAAACATTTAAGTGAAATTTATAGTTTTGCTAAGATGGCAACCACGCTTTATCTGGTCACGGAGGGGGAGATGATCATGGTGTTGCCTGTTGAGTATTACCGTATCGGGGCTACCGAAACAATATGGTGGTGCAGAGTACCTACATGTGAGTACTGGCAACAAAGGGCAAATAATAAAACATGTTACATGCTATGAAAATGCACCGATAGACAGTTCTTTTATCTTTTCGGAGTGGAGAGATTATTTTAAGGGACGATTTTCAGGAAATAGGTGTTAAGTCGTGAGATCGGTTAGGTTATGAAGAGGTGTAGGTTACATTAGAGTAGCTACTGAGTTCACTGTTGCATATCGTATCGCACTCCGCTTCCTGCTCACTCTTGGTCATTTTTTAAAAAAGAAATTAGACTTTAACTTAACTATTGCGTTTAGTTTTCGGTATTGTATACTCTTGCCATTGCTGTTAGTCTCCCTTGGGTCCAGGTACCAGTAGCACCATTGTACATGGTATTACCGTTTGTGATTTGGCCGTCAACGAATTGATGAGATTCGTCAGATAGGAGGAATTCACTAGGTAAACGTTGAAACTGGCCGAGAGAACGACATGCTCGTATAGGAGCGAGAAGTTTGTTCCACAGCATACTGTATTGCGTTATGAAAAACCTACATCGAAGTTTTGAGCGGTACTTATTCATTGGGATGGTGTACTCGCTATTACGCAGATTATATGCCTGTGTTGATTTAAAAGTGATAGCACATTTCGTCTTAGAGTTTCTAAATAAAAGTCGAAAAAGAAATGTTAGGTTGAGCTTCAGGCGTCTCAGCCAGAGTGATTCTAGTCCTAGTTTTTTGCATCTTGCTTCGTAAGGAAGTCCTTCGATTAAAGTTTCGATGAATGTTCCCTACTTGAATTCTGTCCGATACTTTCATGTTACCATAGATGACCGTGCAGTACTCTAATATTGGGCGAACCATAGCCTTGTATAGTATAAGTTTTGCCTCAGGTGTGAGTATGTTTCTGTGTAGAAAACTAATGAGTCTTCTGCCTTTGGAAACTTGAATCTGCATACTCCGCAAAAGTAAAACTTCTGGAGTAAGTGATTCCGAGGTCTTTCGCAGTGTTGTATATCTGCAGTGCGATGTCACCCAAGTGTAGTGTTACTTCTGGGTGGGATTTATTGAAATGAAGGATGCCACTTTTATTTGGGTTTAGAGGTAGCTGCCAGGTCACGCTCCATTTGAATATTCTCTTCAGATCTTCTTGTATTTGAGAGAAACCCTGTGTTAGTGCTGCAGGAGGAAAGCTGTAGACTATCTGCAAGCCGTCTGCGAAAAGGTAAGGCATGCCATTTTGGATAACACTGTAGGTATCGTTTACATAGATTAGGAAAAGTATCGGTCCTGGCACACTACCCTGGACGACATCACTTTGTATAGGCCTAGGGGAGGAGCGACCCTCTAAAGATGTTCTAAGCCAGGACATTAACGGGTCTTGGAAACCATATGATTGCAACTTAGTGACCAGGCGTTTTTGAGGCACCTTATCGAATGTTTGCTTGAAGTCTAAGAAAAGGGTAGTTACAAATAGGCCTTGGTCACGCTTTCTTGTAATGTCGTCTAGATATTCAAGATAGCTGGTAGCGCATGGCCGGCCTTTCAAGAATCCATGTTGTGCTGGTGAGAGTAATTGGTTTGTCGTCATGTAGTGGATAACTGCTTTCACAATCACCTTTTCCATAGTCCTGGATACTCCTGACGTGATGTTTATAGGTCGGTAGTTTTCTATATTAGATGTTCTTCCATATCTATGCTTAAGATATTTGCATGATAGTTCTGAAGCGAGCGCTTTTGAATAATGACGTGTTTTCGTTCGTCTCTCAGGTTTTGGATTTTTCCACATTGAAAAACCCTCACTTGCAGTACTCAGTCTAAAAAGATCTAACGTTTGCATCACTTCTGTTTCTGCACGCACCTCACCGCTGCGTATTGGTCAGCTTATTTTTGAGAAGTGATTGCGTGTTATTTAATACTCATTTATATTCCAGGTGCAACGAGAACTGGACGGAACATCAGAAAATACTGAGCACTGCGATATGCGTCCAGTTCAATTTATTGTATTTTATTTTCAATTGTCACGACACCGTAGGATAAGTTCAAACAACCAGCGGACACTTCACGCGGCGAGCCATCGGAAGATTTTTACCGTTGGAGAAACCACTGTATTTTAATTCCGTCTGGTATCCGCCTTGCGTCTTGAGGAATCTACTAGATTAGGTAGATAGATACACAGATACATACACAGAAAGATAAGATAGATTAGACAGATTAGATAGATTAGTAAGATTAGATACGTTAGATAGATTAGATAGATAGATAAGATAGATTAGATACATTACGTAGATTAGATAGATTAGATAGATAGATTAGATAGATTAGGTAGATTAGATAGATTAGATTGATTAGATAAATAGATTAAATAGATGGATTCGATAGATAGATTATATAGATAGATTACATAGATAGACCCGATGGATGGATTAGATAGATAGATTAGATAGATAGAGTAGATAGATAGATTAGAGAGGTAGATTAGATGGATAGATTAGATAGATTTTATAGATAGATTAGGTAGATAGATTAGATAGATGGATTATATAGATGGATTAGACGGATAGATTAGATAGATAGATTATATATATAGATTAGATAGATAGATTAGGTCGATAGATAGACTAGATAGATAGATTAGATAGATTGATTGGATACATAAATTAGATAGATTATATAGATAGATTATATAGATGGATTATATCGATTAAATAGATAAATTAGAGAGATTAGATAGATACATTAGATGGATAGATTAGATAGATTACATAGATTGATTAGATAGACAGATTAGATGGATAGATTAGGCAGATTGATTAGATAGATGAATTAGATAGATAGATTAGATAGATGGATTGGATAGATTAGATGGAAAGATGAGGTAGATAGATTAGATAGATAAATTACATGGATAGATTAGATACATAGGTTAGATAGATAGATGCATTAGCTGGATGAGGTATATTCGATAGATTAGATAGATCAGAGAAATAGATTAGATTGATTAGATATATGGATTATATAGATTAGATAGATGAATTAGACAGATTAGATAGATAGATTATATAGACTAGTTTGATTGGATAGATTCGATAGATTAGACAGATAGATTCGATAGATTAGATCCATTAGATAGATTAGATAGATTAGATCGATTCTATGTATTAGATATATTAGATAGATTACAGAGATAGACTAGATAGATTAGATATATTAGACAGATTAGATAGACAGATAGAGACATTAGATAGATTGGATAGATTCGATAGATTAGATGGATTGGATAGATTAGAGAGATTAGATAGATTAGATTTATTGGAAAGATTGGATAGATTAGATAGATTAGTGGATGAGATAGATTAGGTAGATTAGATAGATTAGATGGATGAGATAGATTCGATAGATTAGGTAGATTAGATAGATCGGATAGATACGGTAGATTAAATGGATTGGGTAGATTAGATAGATTAGATAGATTAGATGGATGAGATAGATTAGATAGAATAAATAGATTAGATAGATTACATAGCTTAGATAGATTAGATAGATTGTACAGATTAAATAGATTATGTAGATTCGATAGATTAGATGGATTAGATACATTAGATGGATTAAATAGATTAGATAGTTTAGATAGATAGATTAGATGGATTAGATAGATTAGGTAGATTTGATAGATTAGATAGATGAGATAGATTCGATAGATTGGAGAGATCACATAAATTAGATAGGTTACATAGATTCCGTAGATTAGATAGATTAGATAGATTGGACAGAATGGATAGATTAGATACATTAGATAGATTGGACAGATTAGATAGATTAGATATATTAGACAGATTAGGTACATAGATAGGTAGATTAAATAGATTAGATGGATTGGAGAGATTATATAGATAGATAAGATAGATGAGATAGATTAGAGAGATATACTAGATAGATTATATAGATTGGATAGATTCGGTCGATTAGATAGTTTAGATGGATTAGGCAGATTGGATAGATGAGATAGATTAGATAGCTTAGATACATTAGATAAATTAGATAGGTTAGAGAAATAGACTATATGTTTCAGATAGATTAGATAGATTAGATGGATTATATAGATGAGATAGATTAGATAGATAAGTTAGATTAGATAGATTAGACAGATTAGATGGATAGATTAGGTAGATTAGATAGATAGATTATATAGATTTGATAGATTAGATTGATCAGGTAGATTAGATAGGATTCGATAGATTAGATAGATGGATTATTGAGATTAGATGGATTAGATAGATTAGGTGGATTAGATATATAAGATAGATTATGTAGATTAGGTAGATTAGATAGATTAGGTGGATTAGATAGATGAGGCGGATGAGATAGATTAGATAGATTATGTAGATCAGGTAGATTACATACATCAGATAGATTAGGTGGATTAGATAGATGAGGGGGAAGAGATAGATTAGATAGAATATGTAGATTAGGTAGATTAGATAGATTACATGGATTAGACGGATTAGATAGAGTAGATAGATTAGGTAGATTAGATAGAGTAGATGGATTACGTAGATTGGATAGATAGATTAGATAGATAGATTAGATAGATAGATTATATAGATATATTAGATAGATGGATTAGATAGATAGATTAGATAGCTAGATTAGATAGATGGATTAGATAGATAGATTGGATAGATAGATTAGATTGATTTATTAGATAGATTAGATGGAAAGATGAGATAGATAGATTAGATAGAGAAATTAGATG